TATTACTGTCACCTGCTGTCACCCACGATGCGCTCACTGAATCTGTTCTTGGGTAACAAATCGCGTTCATTTTTGTAATGGACTTCAACGAGGTTGCCGTGATTTTTGCTCTTGAAATACGTAGAAGAAAAATGAAACGGAAAAAACGCTGCTGGGTGCATCCTATATACACGGAAAGATTATTTAAAGGAAAATTCTACACTATATATTCTGAATTACGAGGAAGAAGTGTTGCAAGAGGTCGCAGATGATACAAGTATTTCCGTTCGTGAAATTGAAGAAAGAACGGGAATACCCAAAAGCACATCACATCGTATTTTACAAAGAGCCGACATGCATCCGTTTCACGTACAACGCGTTCAAAGTCTTCTTCCTCGAGATTATCCTGAAAGGATTTCATTTTGTAGAACAATGCTACAGAGGCATAACGAAAATCCCCAATTCATCCAAAAAATTCTCTGGTCAGATGAATCTACATTTAAAAAAGATGGTTACATAAACTTACACAATTTTCCCGAGTGGCATGTGGCGAATCCACATTTAATGCGAGAAGACAGATCCCAGTATCGCTTTAAAGTAAAGCTGTGGACCGGAATTTTAAACGGCAAAATTGTTGGGCCTTTTGAGCTGCCTGAGAATTTTAATGGCACGAATTACTTACATTTTTTACGAGAAAATTTACCAACTTTGTTAGAGGACGTACCACTAGCAGATCGTCGCCACATGTGGTATCAACAAGATGGCTGCCCAGCGCATTACGCGGTGCAAGTAAGAGATTTTCTTGACCAGGAATATCCGGGAAGGTGCATTGGACGTTCAGGCACTATCTCGTGGCCAGCCCGTTCCCCAAATTTAAATCCCCTGGATTTTTTTTATTGGGGCGTTCTCAAAGAAAAAGTTTATTCAAAGCCCATTGACAGGGTAGCCGAGCTGCGTGAACGAATTTCTCAAGCTTCTGAGGACATCAACTCTCGAGGATATGCCCGACTAATAACTAGATCTTTTTTAAGATGTAGGGCGTGTATTGAGGCTGATGGTAAACCATTTGAACACTTATTGTAATAAAAAAATGTTATTTCCCTATCTGACTTTTATTTCAATAAACCTAAACTAAACTAGGTCAAGATTTTTCATTATTTTGTTAATTTTACTTACTTTTGTTGACTTTTGTAAAATTGGCGTCACTATCTGTCTTGCTCGCTCATGGCAAACATCTCCACTATCCATCTCTCAAATCAATAAAGACATTTGAACTAAGTAAAATGGGTTACCAAAAATCGGGTTACTCGAGGTTTTTATTTATTTACTTGTTTTTTTTTTTAGAATAAAACCAACATATATTGTACCATTTTACAATTCTGATTAAATGCGCAAACTTTTAATAGCACTTGCCAAGGCACTTTAGTACATTTTTTTTTAAAGGAGGACCTTTCAAATTCGACAAATGTTGAAAATTTTAAATTCATAGTTTAGCAAACAGTCTTAATTCTAGAAAACTTGGGGCAGTTGTCTCATTATTTTTGACTGTTGTTCTAGAAATCTTATTTAGTGTTACGGTTCCAAAGTTTAGATGAACAAAAATAATGAAAATTAACCACAAAAACCGAAAAATGGTTACAGTTTCACCAAAATTCTAGATTTTTCTTAAATGCCCATAATTTCCGAACTGCATGGGATAGATTTTTTTTTTCTGATTTTTCTCATGATCGTAACAATCATTCCTGTCACCCTGTTTCGGCTTGACGTTGAGTTCTGGGACACCCTGTATATATATGTATCTATATAATATTATAAAGCTGAAGAGTTTGTTTGTTTGTTTGCTTGAACGCTGAACTAGTGGTCCGATTTGAAAAATTCTTCCAGTGTTAGATAGCCCATTTATCGAGGAAGGCTATGGGCTATATGTCATCACGCTAAGATCAATAAGAGCGAAGCACTAATAAAGAATATTTCAAAATAGGGGTTTTTTTAGAGCTTCCGCTGATTGCGCTGCGTAAACGGTTAAAGTTTCGCAAAAATCATGTATGACAGAATTGTTCTCCTTTATAAGTTCTAAAAAAAGACCGGGACAGCATATGTCTACCTTTTAAGGTTGGCTCACTATAACCTTTTTTATGCTAACTAAATTTGTCCTAAAATAATGCATTATTTGCAAAGATGTATTTATAAACATAATATTAATCCTTATCCAAATAAATACGTTATGCATCACAAGTATTTAATTTAAAACAAAATTGCCCTTTACATCATTCGATTTGAATGAATATCTTAAGAGATATCGCAGTTTTAAAATAACATCGCAGCAAATTAATGATTAAGTACTCATCTATCAGTGGATGTGTCAAAGGGCAATATTGGCAGCTAGAAATATTAGCGTTGACGACATCAATAACATAATACTGTGTAAACTTCCAGGAGATAGCGTTAACTACATGTCCATTGATAACGTAATGGATCAAGAGGATGTGTACTATAATGTACCGCACATTACCCACAAGAATTTTTAAATTCTCTAAATCCGAGTGGCCTTTCCCACATTCACTCAAAAACTGGCACTCCTATTGTGTTGCTAAGAAACATTAAATCACCAAATTTATGCAACGGAACCAGACGCCAAGTAAAATTTCTTCGTAATAACGTTATTGGTGCTACAGTTTTGACTGGTCCAGCAGTAAGGCAAACAGTGCTTTTTAACTTTAAAATAATTATTTTCCGGTAAAGGTATCGTTTGCGGTAACAATTAATAAGGCCCAGGGGCAAATATTTAAGCACGTAGGAATAGATTTACGCCAAGAGTGTTTTTCGCACGGGCAACTATACGTTGCCCTATCGAGCTTTGGTTCTGGTGAAAATCAATATCTACTTCTGCCAAGAGAACAAAACTAAAAATATAGTGTACGCAGAAGTACTTTAAAATAACATTAGTTTTGAGTTTTTTTTTTCAGAAAAACCTACGATCTACATGATATAAGATTATAAGACCCAGTACTTTTTCCTAACGTTATAAAAGGTCCACTCTTACTGATAAAAGCGTGATGTAGGTGCCTAAAATAGCGGCATTTTCTTGACCTTGGCTTGACCTGAGCAAGCCATTGGCAAGACAAAAGGCATTGCGGTGCGCTCCGCCCCGCTGACGTCTAGCCGGCCGGTATTTTGAGAGACGGATACAGCTGCCCTCTCGCTTACTCACATTAGTTAGGAGTTAGTTGAGTGGAATCTATGCAGTTTGCATAGATTTGGAGAAAGCGTAATCTCCGAAAGGTCAAGCCTTGGCAAGATCTGAAATAAGCGTTTCCCTCCCTTCGGCATAGAAAACGCCGCTCGTAAAGTTTTATATAAATCTTTTCTATATAAACTTTAACAACGCTAAACCTCACACCCCTTCGTGAGCGCAATATGCTTAAAAAGGAGTACAATGTTTTCTATCTACTCGCCCAGGCAGGCTGGCACTTGACTGCCTTGTTTTACTGGTCGTAAGCGTGGTTACTAATCATGAGGTCCCGTATTAAAAAGTAATGAGTTTTTCTATAAAGGAATTCTCTGCAGCAGCCCGGAGTCAGGAAGTTGGCGGAGTTTCACACAGAGGTGAAACATCAGAAAACAACGTCAGACTGATCGGATGAGAGTGAGGAAATAGAACATTCACCTGGGCTTACGCATATTCTTGGGCACCATAATCCTGTCTTGCTCAGATGGTTAGTCTCCGTTTAGACTGTCCGCCGTGACCGAAATTCGGTCTAGAGGACGTTACAAAAATACAAAAATAAAATAGTGTATTGAGGTACATAACATAATAACATAAACACTCACGCCTATCACCCAGAGGGGTAGGCAAAGACTACAGACTTCCATTCCACTTCCACGATTTTGACATATATATACCTATCCATACATGCTCGTCGGTTAAGGGTACTCATAATTTGGCCCATTTTTAATATATCGCCAATTCGGTCGAGAAACTTTCGCCTAGGACGTCCCTTTCCGACTCTTACATTCACTTCTGCAACATATATTTGCTTTGTCAGTCTTTCCTCATTCATTCTTTCTACATGACCAAACCACCGAAGCATTCCTTTCTTAATCCTGGTCACCGCATCATCTTGCAAACCACACTCTTCTTTTATCACCCAGTTTCTCACCCTGTCACTCAGATTCAGCCCTAACATACTCCTTAGCGACCGCATTTCTACTGCATTTATTCTACTCTCGTGCTTCTTCTGCCAAACCCAACTTTCACTACTATATGTTAAAGTAGGGACTAATACAGCTTTGTGAATTGCCAGACGTGCCTTTTTTGACACATTCTGACTTTTCACAATATAGTGTAGAGCCCCATTTACTTTATTTCCTTCATTCACTCGTCGTTGAATATCCTTATCATATCTCCCATCCCTGCTGAATACATATCCCAAATATATAAATTCATCTATTTGCTTGACCATCTCCCTTTCTATTCTTATTTCACATCGTATTGAGGTAACTAAGCCTAACACAATTTTATGTAATTGGAATTTTTTTTAAGCGAAACTCTTGCTTTTGCTAACAAGAACAGCTCTTTTATAGCGAGGTTTACACAATAGACTATAAACCGCCAAATAAATGCAAATAAGGACTAATATTTAAAGCTTAATATGAATAAGGCTATCTCAAATGTTAACAAAAGATGAAAAAAAAATGTGTACATTTTACACGCAGTAGAAGTAAAACAACAGAGCGAGATAATAGGAAACTCTGTATTCTAACTCATTCTATCGTGGGCTTAATCCGCAGGCGCAGATTAGTGTACCATAAAATAGACTAACATCGGTATTTACTAGAGCCTCTTACACCAATTTCAAGCAGATAGCAATTTTTTTCCAATGACGATCCACAACGACAATCACGAATGACACACAGTCGGATGGTACCGTATCAAAGGCCAGAAGGCTCAACCTAAACTTAACGAAACGCGATCTCTTTTAAAATCTCTCATCATAATAAAGGTAAGGAAAAATATTTACCTGAGAATATGTGTGCTGCGTGTTTGTTGTCTGAGGCGAATGGGGTGAACTATGGTTTATATAGTTCGTGTTGTAACTCGACGTGGGAGGGTCCAACTGTAAAATTTTAAATTATAACAATTTATCTAATTTATATGTAAAAAGAAAGTAAGCCAAATATAGATAAATAACACATGACATTTACACCGTTATGTATAAGAAACAGAAGCGAGGTATACAAATTTAATCAATTTAATAAAAACTTTGTAAAGCAGAAAATGAGCAAATAACAAGACTTTAAAATCTGCATTTTACAAAAAAAGTTACTGCGATATCATCTCAACAGATAAAAATATGCTACGAAAAAATAAATATTTGCAAAGACAGCATTCTACGATTTTGAAGTTTTCTACCGTTCATCTAATTAAAAAATGACCAAGGGTCACCCGCATAAATATGCTATATTTTAATTAACTGTATCTACATGCCTAAATTAAAATCAAACAAGTTACTGAAACATTTGAAAAGGATAATAAGAAGTTTCAGGACCATGCTCAATAAATATAATTTTGAAAATCTAAATTCAACATGCGTTTTGAGGTTATGGTGCAACTTTAGTGCTTTTGTACTATCAACAAAAGGTTCTAAGTATGTATTCTAGAATTATTGGCAACAGTGTGCGTTTCTTTATAAAAAGACTTAAAAACTGATTTTTATTTTATGTAATATAAAATAATGACACATCATGCTCATTAAATAATTGTCTAAAAGTGAGCAAAAATAAGCCTTACAAATAGATATAATTTTATGTAAAGTTAAAATTCTATAACAAAAGGAAAGGCGTTGTAGTCACCCTAAAATTATTTTTTTATTTTTAAAGTTATATAGTAAAGGCAAGGTAAAGGTGACTAAAATACCGTGAAAGAAAAGAAAATGAATTTGCTCATTTAAATAATAAATACATAAACACGTTAAAAAGAAAGTTAGCACGGGATGTTCATTTTCTTTTCAGAAGTAACAATTTTAACCGTTTATGTGTCTCAACAGAGTGCGCAAAAACTAGTATCGAAAATCGTAAATGTACGTGCGTCTAATGTGTTATGCTACCTCTACATTTAAGACCATAATTCAAAAACAATAATAATAATAAATATTTATAAAAACTTTTTAATTCATTATCAAATTGAAAACAAAAACTACATAGTCTCATGGTGATTATAAAATCAAATGTTGTTTTAAATATAGCCTTGATGTGTATTGATAAATAGCACTTTACCAATTATTTCACATATTTAATGAATGTCAATAAAGCTTTTGGCCGTGAAAAGTTAAAGAGAGATCTCTCGCCGGGCAAGATGATCAGCCCGGGGAGCGTCCGAGGCTCAAGTGGTAGTAGAGAGCTATTCTATATGTATCGCAGTACTTTGATATTTAGAGGCCTATAAAGCCTGTAAAATTTGTACACATGAATTTGTACCTAATTTGTTGCTAATTATTTGCCAAAATCGCGATTTTGTTGCTCTAACCAGTTTCGATAAAATTGAGTTACTGCTATCTTAATAATCTTAAGCAGTAAAAACTTTAAATCGACCCCGCCGTAGTGGATGAAACCAAAGAATTTGTTGCTAATTTGCTGGAATATAATATAATATAAGCACAAAGAATATGAAAAAAATCAGACAACTTTTTTTAAATAAAAAATATGAGAAATCAAGTAATGTTCTAAGACTGGTTCAGAAGCTCCAAATTAACGAGTATTTTGCTGTCGGTTAATATATATGTAAGGATTAGCATAAACACTAGTAATTGCTAAGTAATTACTTGGTGCAGCTTATCGATCGGTTTTATGTTGTTGCTAGCTCTGTATGATCTGTTGGTTCCATTACGAACCAGCAATAAAATATCTGTCGTAATTTTTTTTAAGATTCTCCTGTACAGATAGCATGTACATATAAAATTAGTAACCTATTACTTGGTGCAACTTATCGATCGATTCTATTTTGTTGCTTCAGATCTTGCTGATTCCATTACTGACCAGCAACAAAATATCTGCTGCTATTTTTTTCAATAATTCTGCTGTAAAGACAGCATTGTGCGCGTACACATATAACTTGTAGTTTATTACTTGGTGCAGCTTATCCGTCGATTTTATTTTTTTGTAGGCTTTTTCTTGGGAGTTTTTGATCTACTTATCGACCAGCAGCAAAATACCCGTTAATTTGGAACTTCAGAATCAGTGTTAGAACATAACTTGATTACCAATATTTTTTATTTAAAAAAATATCTGATATTTTTCTTATTCTTTGTGCTATAATTCCAGTAACAAATTCTTTGGTTTTATACGTTACGGCCTGTTTGATTTATAGTTTTTACTGCTATCTGAATGTTAAGATAACACTAATTTAATTTTCTCGAAACTAATAATTAGGGCTGATAATTAGGCTTTATTTCTACTCTATATTCTCATAACTAATATACATGTAATGTCCATTAACAAACTGCCTTTATAAATTTAAGACAATTTTTAGTAATTAACAATTTCGCAGGCATTTAATACGCGCAGTACTGGACGCCATAGTCTTACCTATTTAGAATTGCTATTTATATAAGAATTAATAAGAAAACTAGCTCCATGAAAAACCTTTTAAATTTACATTCATTTTAATTATACAAGATTTCTTCGAATAATTTGCTATTTGTTATTGTATATACATTACAATTTGAACATGGTCAAAAACATGGAGATAGCATGCGGAGCCGTCAATAATAATCACTACACGTATGAAGTGAATGTGTACGTGGCGTGTGAGTGTCGTACATTGTCCGGGACTTGAACGTGCGCGGTCCATCCCGACTCCACGAGACTCTGCACCAGCTGCGCCCAGTCCTTGTTCAACACCAACGTTACACATCGTTTACGCACATACAATAACTCACACTCAATATTATACAGGTGATTCTAATTCATTCGAGAAGCTTACGGGATCATCTTAAGAAAATACAATTGTATAATTTTGTTGTTCGATCGTCGGTCGATTATAAGCTAAACATTTTGATATTTTGGAATTCACAATGATTTTGCAATTTTATTCTCTAAGAATAAATGTTATCTTTTTTAATTTTTTGCTTTTATCAATGAAGGTATCCCCAAAATTTGTCGAATGAATGTCAAATGAACACATCTGTAAACGATGTAATTGAATATAAGCCTAGTAAACAATAAGATACAACAATTATTAGTTCTTTTTGTTATATAAATACCTTTTATTTATTTAATTATTTTACTTAATTGTTTATTACAAACTAATTAAAATTAAAAGAGATGTATATTGTAATTACATTTATTAAAAAATTTCATAAAGTGCTTTAAAATTATTTATTAATGAGGGTAGGCTCGTTTTGATTATGTGCTCTCTATGTATCTATATGGTGCGCTTAATTATCAAAGTGCTGCAGTTAACCTTCTTCATAGTGATCTACCGATTCCAGGTTTAATGGAATTACTTATTTAATACCCACATTTACTAAATATATTACATATATTTAACTGTAAAGCATTTCCGATAAACATCTATGTTGTATATATTGATTACTTACAACTCCTTGCTATTCCATTGAAGCATAGAAATTTTATAAACTTAGTTAAAATAATTAATTAGCAAAAGACAAAAAAAAATATACAATTTGGACAAAATTTTTCATCCTACAGATCTTTTCAAATTGATTTAACGTACAAAAGTGTACCTATGTATAGGTGAGAAATTATATTTAAGCTAACTTATATTGGACTATAGACGATAGACTAGAACAAATTTTCGGTTACATTAACTATCGTTAGTAGTTGAATCATTGTAACTATCGTTATTGTTTACGGCAGATTTATAAAATTTTGCCGAAAAATCTAAGAGATATAAAATAACAATACAATGTATAAATATAACTCGTCATTAATAAAATTTGCTCATTATCATTCTATTGTTCTTTCTTAAAACTTTTGTCAAATCAGGACGGTTACATAAACTAGCGTTCTTTGTTTTAAACAAATAGGTAAGTAAAACATACCTACATCTACATTTTCATTCTCATCACTCTCTATATGACATGCACATTATTCTTTGTAATCATATAATAAAATGTTAAATATACTTTTCAGAAGTCCAGTTTCGAATTTTAATATTTCAATATATTTTTAGGTAGTAAGAACGGGTCGGCTCGGCCGGGAAAGGACCACGCTCTCACAGAATACCAGCGTAAAATAGCAGCTTAATGCTGCTGTCTTTCGGATGGTGAGTGTAGAGAACTGGAGACCCTTTTTACTGAAAACAAGGCAATTCCATTTTAGTCCTCGGGAGTGACAATGTATATATCTATTTTGATTCGAGGATAGATGTAGATTGTAGAAGATGTCTATGTACCACAGCATCCACTTACCATCAGATAGACTGTGTGCCCGTCTGTCTTCTTTATTCTATAAAAAAAATCACATACTCTATTCAGTGACAACGCAACTTATTTGAATTTTAGGATTTTCACGTTGCCCTTTAGTATATTCATTTCTCTACTTACGTAATTATAATATTTAAACATCTGTGACCTTACAAGTTTTAACTTACATTATTTTTAGAACGTATCTTTAATTACATGATTAACTAGTTGATACGATAATTAATAAATTATATCGTTATATTTTCCGTTTTGTATTGAAAAATTCGATAAAATTATATATATACGACGAATTTTAACTCAAATTGGCCACTCAATTTAAACGACAAAATTCATACTTTAACCTTAACTTAGTCGATTTCACAGTGTACAGTTTTTGTGTTATTTAATGTTACTTTCACGATATCGAGAGTCAAAAGGACACAAATTCAACGCATCCAAAATACAAGTCTCTTCACCGCAAAAAGAGGCCAGATCACCTTGACTCCTTTCTAAAATGAATCATCGGATTACATCGGCCATCTTTTGGGAGTTGAGTCTTCCTTGAATATTAATCTTGGGCCATTTAGCAACTTTAATCTCAATGGAAAGCCTTTTTAACGTAAGGTACCCATCCTTTCGGTGTTCTATAGGATAAATAGTGTGCGCAGTAATTGCATAACTCAATTTCTCCCTCTCCCTTCCACCATCAAATAAGCAGAAGCTCGATCGGTTTTCACCCCTTTGATGTCAACACACCTCTCATTATATCCAAACGGTTAGCTTCTTCGTTTATAATGCATACAGCAAAGGAATGGAATAATTTACCAGCATCTGTTTTCTTGGTACGATTACAAGAGTGAATAGGCTTAATATATTTTTTTATTAAAAAAAATTAGTAATCTTATTAATTAACATTACTAATATTCCTTTTAACCACTCCTGGTAAGCTTGTTACGCTTGTGTTAGGGGTGGTTCGTGACAGTAGTCAAATGGCGGATTCGAACCCACAACCTTTTGAGTTCGCGATCCGCTTCAGCTAGACGACAACTTACAATCAGGTGAATAGTAGCCAAATACTTATGAGTAAAAGTAGAACTAGTTTTAAATTAAAAATGGTTTATGAACGTGAATGCAATGATTTTAGTAGTATACCATAGTTTTTTTTAAGGCCTTGATAAAATAAATTGATATTTTGTATTAATTTGATATGAAACCCGCGAAATAGTTGTTCTTTATTTGGCATATATGTACCATGTTGCATATATGTACTTGACATCAAAATAGAATACTGTTCAAATGTTAAAAATTCATAACGTATGAATTCTCTATACTAAAATTATTATTTATTTATTTACTTTCTATTGTTATAACCAGTTTACATTTTTTAGGATTAAAGATTAATATAGACATGAATTTCTAAATCAAATTTATTTAATTGAATCTCGCAACCACGAGTTTGACTAATATGTCACAAAAGTAAAATTAATAAAAATACATTACGTGAACTCATGGATGTCCTGCTAGAGTCAGTGATATAGCAATAATATTAACATACACACCCCTGCCCTCCCCTCCCCGCCCACAAATGGCTAACCCCAAGGGTAAGACGGGGGTCCTCCATGCAAATCTTAAACATGCAGCAGCTGCTTCTGCCGTGGTGGAGGTTTGCTTTACAGAGGCCAACATTGACCTCTCCTTCATACAAGAGCCTTGGGTGGCAAACGGTCAAGTTCTGGGATTGTCCGCTACCAGTAAGATACTTGTCAATACTAGAGGCGGTACCAGAGCTAAGAGTAATTTACAATAAAAATATTGAACTTTTAGCTGTTCCAAAGTACTGCAATGATGACCTGGTTACAACCTTAATAAATCTCAAGAGATGCACAGGGGCCAGAGTAATCATTTGCTCAGCCTATCTTCCAGGAGAGAACTCAGATCCTACCATCGAGTTAGAACGAGTGGCGGAGTTCGCCTGAAAACACAACGCCGAACTTGTGGTGAGTTGTGATGCTAATGCTCACCACACAGCCTGGGGAATACTAACATCAACGAAAGAGGTGAGTTACTTTATGATTTTCTCATATCCAACCGCCTGGTAAGCCTAAACTTAGGGTGTACACCAACCTTTGTAACGCGTGCTAGGCAAGAAGTGTTAGACATAAACTTTGCTACCAATAACACGTCCAGGCGGATAAATGTCTGGCATATTAGTAGTGAAAACTCGATGTCTGATAACAACCACATTAAGTTTGTGATTGGAGCATCACCAACCTATGAAACTGTTGCGTTTAGGGATGCAAAAGCGAACTCTTGGGATATCTTCAGAGATAGCCTAAGGAGAAACTTGGAAATGTTTCCTAAAAGCATCAAAACGACGGAGACAGTAATCGTAGGTATCTGTGAAGCCTTCGAAGACATAATAAAACATAAACATAGACACTCACGCCTGTCACCCAGAGGGGTAGGCAGAGACTACAGACTTCCATTTGGCACGATCCTGACACACCTCTCTCGCCTCCTTCACATCCATATACCTACGCATACATGCTCGTCGGTTAAGGGTACTCCTAATTTGGCCCGTTTTCAATAAATCACCAATTTGGTCGATAAATTTTCGCCTAGGACGTCCCTTTACGACTCTGCCATTCACTTCTGCAACATAAATTTTTTTTGTCACTCTTTCCTCATTCATTCTTTCTACATGACCAAACCACCGAAGCATTCCTTTCTTAATCCTGGTCACAACATCATCTTGCAAACCACACGCTCCTTCGAAGACAGTTGTCGGTTTCTAATGTAATACATAAAAAACTGAGAAACTTGTAATTGATTTAAATTAAAAATGGGTGTTTTTATATAGTAATCATGAAAAAAAAATGAATAGTGTGGACAACGGAACTTTTTGGTTACTACTACGGATATAGTATAAGAAAATTAGCTTCAAAATCGTCGATTAGACCAAATAATTACTGTAGTTTGGAAATTTGGTACAGTTATTCGTTAAGGTGTCCATATGAATATACTAAAAGTCCCCGAGGGTGTGACACAAGCCGGCGGTGGGGATAGGTTAAGAAAGGTTTCCTTTTCAAGTTTTTTTGCTTGATACTCGAAAACTATTTGTAATATCTCTTTAGTGACTTCTACATTAATTATGAAAAAAAAATATTTCTTTTTCTGGAGGAGTAAGAGCCACTAGGAGGACTACAATATCAACGTCTCCAATAACAGTGACCACAAGATTGTCTTCATCTTTATCAATTGCAGTGCGAATAATTGTGCAGTCAGCATAACCTGCAGCTATTTGTGTTTTTATGTTGTGTTCTATGAGGAGTCGGTGGAAACTAAGAACCAATCACGACCTTGGATCCTCCTGCTCCTGACGCGTTGTTAAATTCAATTTTTTTGCCAATATAAAAGTGGTTGTTCTGGAAAATGCAGTTGCCAAAAAGCGGGCATTCAGTGTAGTCTGTAACGGCTGCCTAGGAGCTTTTACTAATGGAGCCCCATCCATGTTGATGATGAAGATAACGAAGTTGAAACACAATTTAATTGATAAGTCGGCATACTCGTGCAAAAAATTTGTATAATTTTTCAGAATTAAAATTTGTATAACGATTTTGATTCTTATTTTTATCACCTTTATTACTCTGTATCTCCTAAAGTGTTGATCGTACAGTAAAAATGTTGAGACATAATTTATAGGAAATTTAATGTAGATAATTAATGTAATTAATGTTTTCGAGTACCAAGCAAAAAAACTTGAAAAGGAGACCTTCTTCCCCTCCCCCACCGCCGGCTTGTGTGTCCCTCCATCGGGGAGTTTTAGTACAGTATGTATGAAAAATGTAAAAGAATATCCCATAGACCTAAACTCAAAATCATAACATTTATCGCCTTCGGCAGGAGGAGGAGGGAGATGGGGAAGCGGGGTTGTCTCCAATCACAACTGTAAAGATTTCTGAGTGCTCAAGTCATGGAGTATAGTACCTCTACAATCCATAACTACGTTAGTACTCTTATTAGTTTATGTTCATAGCTCAAGTATTTATGGGTGGTAAAAAAATTACCACGGAGTCTGTGCACGATCTCCGTGCCTTTTAACCTATTACAAAAAGTAAAAAATAAATAAGTATTAATATATTCATCTAGCCACCTTAAGGAATAACTGTACCAACTTTTAAAACTACATAAATTATTTGGTCTGATTTCCTTAATTTTCCCAGGCATATGTAGCAACTTTTTTCCCAATATCTGCTAATTTTCTTTTAAAATTGTTGAACTATAATGAAATTAAAAAAAAATCTTTAAGTATGATATAATTCAATGAAATATCAAATTTAAATGAATCCTATGAAACATTTATACGTAGGTAACATTTATATTAATCTCAGGACCTTCAGGCAACCCCGTATGCAGGATTAAAAAGGCATGTCCATAATTATCTTTCTTTACAGCTAAAAAATGTAAACTTTACGTAAATAAGCGCCCAATTATCCGATCATAAGTTATAAGCTTCATTTAGAGGTAAAAATACCGGACTCAATGCTGCTCGGCATTTGGCATTCTCTCCCAGTCAATACCTGGCTAAGTAAAATTTTATGGCATATAGTTAATTGTTAAGATTTTTCTACTTTTCTATTGTTTAAATACTAAATTCTTATATAATACTCGTCTCCCTTTTAAGCTAAAGAACGCATTTATATATGAACATATATAAATGCGTACTTTTTTAATACAAGTTTTTATAACAAGAATTACATAACGTTATTTACAAAAATCTTCATACATACCATTGTAATTTGCTCAAAGGGCTGTAGGAGTGCTTGATGCAGATTGTTGTAGTCGGTCTGCGGCGACTCTACAGGACTGCCTGGACTATGCACCATCTGGTTAAAATAGTCAAATTAACTGCAAAAACAAGAACGGATGCTATTTTTGCTTATTTCATTAAAGAGCCTTAAAATCAATCATCATTGAACCTTCATTCGCATTGGCCCGGAACTACTGTTAGACATAGTATTCTACTTAATAGACATTTGCTGTAAAATGCCGTAGAAGAGAGACGTATGGTAATAGCGATCGCAGTACCGAATATCACGACGTCGGTTCTCTTCGGAAGTCACGGTATCGCATCATCAGCAACATCATTACAGCCAATCACAAGTCTACCGCCGAACAACTCTCCAAAGGAACTGTCAAGATGCACTGTTCCGAGCCACCTGCATTCATCTGTTTCCTGCATCTCTTACCAGATCTACACTTCACATAGCGAAACAAATCTGCCAGTCTATTTCCACTGCTGTAAATTTACTGTAATTCACTTTTGTAAATTCTTTGAGCTATATGGCCGGCCCTCTTCAGCTTACTACCTATTTATCTAAATAGTTAACATATGGCATATAATATTTTATCTGCGTATAAAAACTTAATTATCTGAAAGTATCACACACTACGTAGATGCGAAGATAATATACAAAATGATACATTCACTCGAAATCCTTGAAACTTATTGAACGTGTTTTTGGGGCGGATTGTTTATACCATTGAAGGTTAGAGAACAGGAGAACGATCGCCGTAGAAAATAGTGTCCCAGAAATATGGACACCATAAGTGAGGCGCTGCAATCGCTAAGTTCGGTCAATAAAAGTAATTTTCAGTCTATTTTTCCGATAAGATGCTAAACCACTTGCACATCCACGCACAATAAAATATTTTTCCATTTTTTAATGTATATTTTTGTCAAAAATTACAAAATTACGGAGCATGAAAATTTTCTCACCAATGCCGCGGAGAAAATTTGTACATTATTCAACTAACTTCATCTACTTGTACTCATAAACAGCTAACTTCGCAGTCACTACTCACCGACGTCAGCGCCGCTATACATTCTACAATTTTCAATGACAGGCGGGCTATGCTTTAATACGTGGTGATCGTTCTCCTGTTCTCTAACCTTCATGGTTTATACAGAGTGTTACCTACAATGAGTTGACGTATATTGCTTCTAGATTTACTGACAGCAAGTCAGAATAGGATTCAGATTTTGATTTTGATGCACATGTTGCATTTGAATTTACTGTAAGGCGAAAAATTTTGATAGAACGTCATATAAAGCTTAAAAAGGACCGAGGCGAATTTAATCGCATTTATTATGTATTTATCTGCAAGTAAAATCCTATGCCATATTTGTATCTGTAAATGTTATCTGCCGATATATTTGTATAAGCAGATAATATTGTTACCATATTTCGTTATATGGCCGTGCTTATCTGTAAGTACGTAACGATAAAATATAAATTATCTGCGCTGTGTGTTAGTTCAATTAATTTCATAGGGAGCTATATTGAATGACATGCGCTCAGATATCATATCGTATATGCGTAGTGTGTGACTCGCTGTATACCGTCATCTGTCGACTTTAAAACATCTTAGGCATTTTCCAGAATATCCACGGGACAAGATGGGATAATTTATGAAACTTTACTTTGTTGTTTTTCTTTTTTAATGTATGGCACGAACATTTGTTACTGACCTTCATATTTAGAAACATTAAATGCCTATATGACGTTCCTTTATGATGTGGATGCTTTTTACTATACTTAATGTTTTATATAAAATTGAAACGACAAACTTACAGTATATACCATTTAAGGGTAAGTGACCACTGCAGCATTGAACACCAGCTACCGAATTAAAGCAAATAAAAAGGCTGTAGATGCGTTGGCACCTCTGAATATTAAGATAGTTTTTTTTTTAATAAGATTAGGGTCACAAACGAGCACACAGTCCACCTGATGGTAAGTGGTTACTGCGGCCCATAGACGTCTACATCTATCCTCGATTACGAATCAAAATGCAGATGCGTTGTCACCCGTGAGGACTAAGATGGAATGCCTCTTTTCCAGTAGAAAGGGTGTCCGGTTCTCTACACTCACCATACGAAACACAGCAGCATTAAACTACTATTTGACGCTGGTATTCGATTATTAAAAAATGCCCTTAAACCTGTAATTATACAGGATCTCTACACTTTTCAGACCGGAACACAGCAGTACAATGCTGTTTGATGGAAATAAGTAAGAGATCATGTTGTCTATTCTGAATTTTGTCGATTCTTTATACCATTAGTATTTTAGTTTTCTAGTTTTTCTATATGTAGCCAAGGCCAGGAATTTCAACTAAAACGAGAAAAAAAAGAACATGCCTTAAAATAAAAAAATAAAACACAACAAAACAATACTCACTGTGGGTGAAGGTATATTTATGTTTGACGTGGAGGAATATTGCGAGGGCGGACTACAGTGTGACTGATAACTTGACGTTATCCAATTGTGATCTAACGGCGACATGTTCTGCAAATGTTCAGATTGAGCATAATCAGTACATTAAAAACAATGACTTTAGTGTCAACGATAAAAAGATGAAAATAGTATTAAAAGCATTACCCAGTATAGTGACTTAATCTCGCAAGAGACCATCATTTTTATTTAAGCCTGGACTTTTTCGTTTGGGAAGAACTGTCAGCAAATGGATAAATATTAACTATAAGGTGTTTCACAAACGAAAAATTAAAATCGTCCAGTCCAAGCACAAACATGCGGTTAGAAATTACGGAAATTGGTGATTTTAAAGATTGTGTTAGTATTCTTTGCCATGTGTTTTCATAAACTAATACCGATTAATTCTCACAAAAAAGATGTATTTTTTAATAGTGATTTATTTAAAATAACTTTGTTATTCCATTAAGAGTCTATTATCTGTATCATTAAAAATCTTTGATAATTCTATAATATAACTATTAAAATAGATAAATCTATTTTATGAGAAATTAAATTGCAGTATGGTTATTATTGATGACGTTCGAGGCTAATAATTAAACTTCTTGCGAAATAAGATAGTATAAATAAGTAACTTTTTTTTTAAATTATCCAAAGAAAAATGTTGCAAAACTTATTGAAAAATTATAATCTGGTAATTAGGAAAGGAAGAATATACTAGGGATTACGGGTGAGTCGTAAATATAATAAATTTTGAGTATTATTGCAGTATGATAGCGAAGATGAATATAACAGAGCAAATATGCTGAAGTCCACTTAGCAACTACAATAGTCATAAAAATTAAGGGATATAAAAAGTTTTTGGGTGATTTTCAACAAGCTGTAACTCCAAGGAAAATGACCGTACAGCAAAAAAGCTAATTGTAGCTCCAAGTGTCTCGTTTTCAGATCTGGCCACGAAATTATATTATCATGTACGCAACGTCGTGTACGTGTACCAACAAAAACCTACCAAAAAATTTCCAAATTTTGGCTTGTCTTACGAAATGTCTTCTTCACAAATTTCAAAAAAAAAAAAAACTAGAACCAACCGTAACGATTCGGTCTAAATTTAAAGGAAATCTAAGTTCAGTGAGACTTTCAGATGCCGAAAACCGCTTTTCGATCGGACACTCTGTTATAAAATTATGATGACATGTATACTTGTTTACAAGCGCACACACACACACGCACGCACGCACGCACGCACGCACGCACGCACGCACGCACGCACGCACGCACGCGCGCGCACGCACGCACACGCACACACGCACACAGCACACGCACACGCACACACACACACACACAAACGCGTACGCGCACACCTTAATTTTTGTGACTAGTGTATCTTTTTAATTGAAGTGAATAGCCGCTTACATATAAGTAAGCGAAAATTCTTTAAAATAGAATCAATATGGAAAGTAGAGGTTTATACCAAATAATGAATGCCATTTTTATCAAAGGGTATATGTTAATATTCATACAGCATACGTTTTTAATAATTCGACATGATGACGGTTTATATTATATTTCTCGTTTTATGACTTTTGTTAAAATGTTTTATAATGGACAAAATTATAGAGTATTTATTAAAGAATTCAAGACAGAAAAATGCTTGTACACAACAAGAATCAAGCAAATTGTTTTATGTTGTAGGCGTAAATAATTTTGGAAGCGATAAGCCACATAGTAGAACTTCGTTTCTGCCTAGGAGTACGTGTGGGCAGGTATCACCTAATACATGTACCATACCATCATACAAGTATACATACGTACATAAGTGCGTGCACCGGTGTGCTCAGCCCTAAAGTTTATAGAAAGGCAGTGTAATTACAGGCTGTGAGGCAATCCATCTTAGTCCTTGAGGTGATGATGCTTTGTTTGAAGTATGTTTCAAGTATCCATGTGCTGCACTAGCCACTTACCGTCAAGTGGACTGTAAAGGCGTTATTATATATTATTCCTTTAAAATATTCTTTCTTTAGTATTAAAAGCACATTTTTGTAAAAAAAAAAGCGAAACAAAAACCTATTAAAAGACGAACAGAAACATTTTAATTAAAATAAGCGACCTAAAATGAAATAAAGCATATTAATTCTTGTTTATGAAAGTTAAAAAATGATTTCTTCATCATGCATTTTGAGCGCAAAGAATATGAATCTGAACCCGGGTAAAATGATGAAGTTTTTGGTACGAGGCTATTTTAAAACCAGTACTGTTTGAGTGGAGCCAAATCAGCGACATATACAATTATAACATAATTTAATTGAAAAAGACATCATTTTATGTTGGGATTTTAATGTTAAAATAAAAAACACATGCATGATGAGAGAAAATTAAATGAGAAAATGTAAGCTTTTATAAAGCTAATATGTTAAAATATGCAATTGACATGAATTGAAGGAAATGTTAACCTCGAGGCAAATTGTTGCATTTGAGGGATTCAAAGAAATAGCACCAAACAGATAGCATTGTAAGCCCTTAAGCAAACACTTGCATAAGTGAATAATTTGGAACGATTTTTTTAATAAAAAGAAGTTATAAAAGGAAACGAACCTTATTATGATGTAGGTAATTATTTGTGTTTGGTACAGATAAGTGATTCTGAAATAAACAAAAATATGATTTGTGTAGAAAGTAAATAAAAACCACGAAAAAATTAAGAAAGTACATAGTGATTGATATTTAAGTCTTAAATATATAAATATCTTCTAAATTGCTATTTTTTTTTCAACTTTTTTGTTATCTTTATCAGTCAGTAATTAATTACTCTATTAGCCTATAACAAAATTATTAATTTTAATTATCATGAAACTGTTATAGTTATTGTTATTTGAATTTTGTGATTAAATTTATAAAGTATAGTTATTCATATTAACAAAAACATTAAAATTTATAATATTCAGAATACAAATAAAAGAACTAACAATCTCCAATTATATAGATAAAACTAAGAAAGATATTGATGAATATTCGACAAAAAGATCGCGCGATTTAAATTAAATTAGATTTTTTAGGGATGAACCACTCATGGTTAAGGGGGAAATGTGATAAGTTCCGTAAAAATTAGTTCCATGAGTAGTGTTCACGTAAGTTTAATGAATCGTTATGCTTGCGCATTCATAAAAATATAGTCGTTTCCGCATTACATTTTATGACATAGCCATATGTATAAGTTGACTTATGCTAATAGGGTTTCGATTGATATTGTAAACATGAAAAGAGGTAACATGGGGCCAAAAAATACCCCACACTGATCCGATTCGACGGTTTTATTGTTAGAGCAAAGTACATTGCTGCAGCGACTTCTCTCAAAACTGAGATCTTGAGTAAAAACCATGTAGTGACGGCGTAAGAAAATTATATATATTATATAATATTTATTAATATTCCATTTTGTCCCGTGGATGCAATCCAACATTGCTAAGTAATGCCAACCATGGATATTGTCAAAATAAATTGGTCTTGTAGGTACTGTGTAATATCCACTACCCCATACCATCCCGTGGGTATCATAAGAGGCGATAGAGGCAAACGAATCAGAAGATTGGCAACAGCGTCTTCCTTCTAGAGTGGCAACTATGGTAAATATATATGAGGCAATCTATGGTTCAGCAGTGGACTTTAATAGGCTGTAACGGTAACGGCAGAAAGCAGTATTATCGTATCATTTACTCTAGACGTAAAATACTTAAGCAGCGACGATAAGCAGTGTCGAAAATGACAGGCGTTTGGTACTTCGATCGTCAATCCGATTGCCAAGTGTCACAATTAAAACGAATCCAATCCAAAACGGGGGGGGGGGGGGGCTCACGCCGGAAGTGGAGTTTTTAATGTTGATCATAAAATCATATCGTGTTAATATATTTTTATGTAAACACGATGCGCTTGGGTTAGATATATTCAATTCGCAAGATATTGAGACAATATTTGAGTTTAAGTTTTGCTCGGCGTTCACGTCTTGACAATGGTTTTAACCTCTTAGCTACCAAGCGTTCAAATTTAACCGCGGCGATATTCCTTCAAAATTCAAGAGGTCAAATATGACCGCACCCACCCACAGCACTTTAACCCCTAAAGACTTACGTTTAGAGACTACTTTTCTAAGAAGAAATTTGGCATTATAGAATCAATATGAAATTTGCTATCCTCTAGTGGAATAAAAAGTCAGTTAGTCAATGGATATTTATTTATAATCTACGTTCATTTCGTACGCCATTTTCATGTGAATATTATTTGTGTTGATTTTTGGATTTTTCTAGTGTTTTATTAGTGTTTTTGTATAGTGTTTTATTATAAAATTGTAATGAAAGTTTTTGTGTGTTATCAAAATACAATAAAATCTTGTTGTAATGAAGTAGTAGTTCCATTTTTTTTTCTGTTATTAATGGTTCTTGTGTTGTCACATTGTTGTTTTCATCCCCCTTTATAGACAAGACGTGCAAAAATATTCACATTGATTGTACTTTGAGTGAGATAATGACAAGGAGAATATTAAAATAATATATTTATACACATTTTTATCGATATTATTATAGAACAAAGGCATATTTTTATAAGCTTACTATTTCTCATCACCTGGTGCTGCAAGTCACATATTCGAACGATAAAAAATCGGTTTGTAGCTGAGTCGTGGACACAGGCGTGTGTTAAACGTAAATACGTATACGTAACGGGGAAAAATATGTGACGTAAAGAAACGACCTCAAAATGGCGTTGCTCCCCCCAAATTTGCGCGCAATGCGACATAGTCTTCACTCCACGTAACAAATTCTTTGATTCTTTAGCTATCAAGTGGTGTGATTTAACTTTGGATGTAGATACAGATATGTAGTTGCAACATCGAACTGTGTCCCCGGTTTTTTGTTATCATCAGTTTTCTGAATTGCCACCCACTATTAAAAGCTTTTACCACGTGCTCGGCTGTAGACTCGACTCATCTGACAGTAGGTGACTACTGCCGCCTATAAACTACTGGAATATCAGGGGAATATAATAGATGCATTGCCGGCTTTTTAAAACAGAATAGGCTCTTTTCTTGAAGGTCCCTAAATTGTATCGGTCCGACAAAATCGCTGGTGCTAGTCACACAAGGAAGTTGTGCGAAGAAGAAAAATTCTTGTATATCGCACAGTGGCGGATCGTCAATCACCCAGATGCTATGGATGGTATCGCCAGTTTTGTCATGATGTGCGATTGTGAAATTGAACGGCTTGAATCAGTCTGAACAATTCCTCAGAGCGCCTCCCGAGATGCAACATATCTCTGCAATGCCAGGGAGTCAAGCCGATCAGAAGCTCGAAGGCCAACAATTAGAACCGCTCTGGGCTGGATGCGATCAAATGGAAGGAGCTGGCATTGGTTGGATGGGAACTGTCAGAACAGCCGGATTCCATGTGAGGTCGAACCCGCGCCATGTAAAGTTGCAGGCAGTATGCCGGCATTAAATACTGTCTCGCTCGATTTTTATATTATTTTTATATTTGTTCTTCCATCTAACACAAATATTATTACTAAACTTAATAGATAGTTATATATTTTTGTTTGCGTATCGACAATCTTCATAAAATAATATCACTCTAACGTTATGACGTAGGTCTTAATGTTATTAATAATTTAACTATCACAAATTATACTTAATCAATTTATTGATATTACACATATTATGTAATCAATGAATTGCTCGAGTTAGTCGAGTTCATCACTAAATTATAGACAGACACTGCATTGATTGTAAGATAAAGATGCGACCAGAGTAGAATTTTGTGACTCGAGTCACTCGGGTTATTTAATGTATGTATGTCATTGTATTTGTACACGAGTTTTCGAAAAATATTTAAAGACATCTGAAGTTCACCAACACGCATTAGGATAGCCGGCGGACATTTAATTGGCCTAAAATTCTCTCAGAAATCAGACGAGGTCAGTGCCAAGCAGTGGGATATATATAGGCTGTAACTTTAACTTTATGGAAGCAAATTTAAGGACGCATTGACTTCGAAAACGTAATTTGACGTCAACTCACCGATTGGCTGTGGTCGCGGTACTGGCGGTGTGCGTGTGCGAGGGCGGCACTGACCTGCGCGTCGTAGAGCGGCGCGTCGTGCGGGTGCAGCGGATGCGGCGCGTGCTGCGGGTGCAGCGCGAGCGGCACCGTGGCGCCCACCGGCGAGCCGGACGCCGGCGACAGCCCGCCCGTCGCCGGGGACACGCTACCGCCGCCCGGGGACACCACGCCCGGCGACGTCGGGCTCTGTAACGTAAACATTTTTTTCCATAGTAATAAGTAATATCAGGATTCTGTCACTCTTGCTACCATGAAGGTTAGAGAACAGGAGAACGATCACTACGTACTAAAGCATAGTCCTTGAAAATTGTAGAATGTATAGCGGCGTTGACGTCGGTGAGAAGTGACTGCGAAGTTAGCTGTTTATGAGTACAAGTAGATGAAGTTAGTTGAATAATGTACACATTTTCTCCGCGGCATTGGTGAGAAAATTTTCATGTTCCATAATTTTGTAATTTTTGACAAAAATAAACATTAAAAAATGGAGAAATATTTTATTGTGCGTGGATGTGCAAGTGGTTTAGCATCTGATCGGAAAAATAGACTGAAAATTACTTTTACTGACCGAACTTAGCGATCGCAGCGCCTCACTTATGGTGTCCATATTTCTGGGACACTATTTTCTACGGCGATTGTTCTCCTGTTCTCTAACCTCCATGCTTGCTACCTACGTGAAATATTCATCAACAATAGCAAGTCACCCCAGGGTGAAATACGCGGTCGGGGCTAGCGCGTTGTAGGCAATTGAATGTTAAAGACTTTTAACGCTGTTTACGTAAATATTTTTTTTTTTTGTAAATACTTATTAAAATATTATTATTATATTTATTGTATATGTAATATTTAAAAATTATACATATTATGTATATATCTAACCATCTATTTGATAAATCTTAATGGCAAAACGTCATTCCTACTATATTTGTTGCGTGGATAGACGCTAAATAACCAACAGTTTCAGATATATCATTCTTTAAGTTACAGAAGTATTTTAGTAGGAAGTTATGAAACGTGAAATTTAATTTTTATTGATGATAGACTTATAGCAAAAAAGAATTAAGTAATAATTTATCTAATACCTACGAACTTTATTACAAATTCTAGTAGAAATTTACTTCACTATCCAAGTATCAACTTACGTACCTATACTTATACCTTATACTTTTGTATTTAAAATATTTTAAGTTAATAACACAAAACACTGAAATTAAAACTTTGTTTACTAACAACGTTATTAACTAAGTAGAATACTATTACATTTCTGTTAGGAATCGTATTTCAAGTTTATTTGTTGTTTACAATATCTACCTTTTTCTTCCGAGCCAAGAATCACGATTCCCACGAATGGCTTTGCAAGTTGCATGCGTTGGGCATCGCAGAACTTACATAGGTGCGAAAATATGGTCAGTCGACCATAGTCAGAATTGGTATTTCACGTACATAACTTAATTAACATTTCGCAATGTATCTTGTTACTCTTTATTGACATCCCTTAGTAACAACGGAAAGTCCGCCGTAACGTAGGAAGGGGAAAAGATGCAAAGTAATACGGACACTCTCGCGCAGCGATAAAGTTTTATTTAGCTTGCGAGCGCGATTTATCTGATTAAGGCTATTAAACGTCGGCAAGCAGTCAGCATCAAAGGAGTGCAACTTCTGTACGTAGTACTATTATTTATTCTGTGGTTTAGGGCGGTCCTCCACGATAAGAAGTAACGATCAGGTAAGACATGCAGGAAATAGTCAAGCAGGTGCTTCAGGACCGTGTTTTGTGGCCTTCCTAGGATGAGACCTATGTTTAATAGTAGACTTATAAATGACTGTAATAGTAATTATGATAATGAATCGCTCATAAATAAATTTAATTGAATAAAAGCTTGTAAAAGTTACAGTTTAAGACATTAACAAAAAAATACATTCATAATTCACACGCACTGTTATTATGTTATTTAATATGCTTATGGCTTTTTGGTTGCAAAAAACTTTATGTTTACTTATAAGTTTACTTATAAATGTAACAGTTTTTAATTTTTAAGTTACATATATCGGGCTCTGTCGCGTACAAATTTAATAAGACCGGCTTTCACGCAAAGATGTACGGGGAAAACAAACTCGTTGCCGGAGACACCGTGCTTTGCGAAGCCGGACTTTGCAGCATAAATTTTTTACGAGACCGGTGATTACCTAAAAAATGTACGGAGACAGCCCGCTCATCACTGGGTACAATGAGCCCGTTAACGTTGGGCATTGCTGCAACTTCGTGCTCTGCCGCGTATTAAATCAAGTAATTTTATTTTTTTAAATGCGAAATTTGAATTTGGAAAACATATTTAATACACTTTATTACATACCAGTAACATTTTCTTATAATTGAAACTTTATTAATGTTAACCTCTGTTTTAAGAGCGTATATTCAAATTTGCGCACTTCAAAATCGCTCTAGAACGGCATAATATTGAAGCACCCTACAATGTTCTCTGAGTGCGTGACTACTCGAGGTGTGGCGAGCGCAGTGGTATCTAGCACGAATTGTCTTGATACTATTGGAAATAAAAAAATAAAATAATTTGTGTGACAACGCATCTGCATTATGATTCGTAATGGAGGATAGATGTAGATGTCTATGGGCCACAGCTTCCACTTACCATCAGATGCACTGTGTGCTCGTTTGTCACTCTTATTCTATAAAAAAAAAAGCTTATGAGGTCGGTGCTAAGACATAGTGTATATAAGAATTAATAACCGATCTAGTCCAGACGTCGGAAGCTGATATGTATAAATTATTTAATTATTTTAGTAAATTGAAATCGGTTTTTCTTTTTTTACACTATTGAGTAGGCTAAGAAATGTCACAACGCCAAGTTAACAACTAGAAAGAGGTAAGTAATATATGTTCGAATCGAAAAATATGTATTATATAAAATAAGTTTCGTTTGATATACATTTATTCTATTTTATAAAAAGATAATTCATCAAAATAACAATTTCTTTGGTGTCGGCAGGGATCGAACCCGGTTTGCTCGCGTTTATGGCGAGCACTTCGCCCTTGAGCTACCATTGCTCATATCTTTTTTGTTTCTATTTTATAATAACTTTACCTCCAGACGAAGTGGAAAGTTTTCTCGAGGTATATTGTTAAGGCAGTTAACATAAGAACATAAATTTCAATAAGGTTTGACAAACAGCTACAGACCCGGAACAATTATTTGTAGGTATACAAATTTTCGTGCCGTGCGGGAATCGAACCCACGGAGTTAAACTTATTGCTAAGCTACTCTGCCACGGAGCCGTCAAATATCTTTTATAGGGATTGTTAGTTATATATAGTATGATTTTGGTTATAAATTGCTTACTATTAAATAAACTTATAAAATTATTAATAATTAAATAAAATAATATCATTTAACAAAGTATCATTCGTTGTGTTTTGTTGCGCGGACTATTGTTTATTCTGTAGTAGCGCCTTCATCGTTTCCGATAGTGTGTTCAAGTAAAATCGAGAATTTGGTTTTAATATCGGGACAGTTACAATGGCTACAAAAACAGATTTTTGTAGCCATTGTGGTCGTTATTAGTTATAATGATTTTTTGGACACAATTCACAATGCGTTTTATAATTATTATTTAGAACTGATCAAATGAACAAATAATTTTTCGTCCAAACATCATTGCAGACTCTGAACTTTCTGAATAATATAATTGTGAAAATAGTAATAAACCTTATGAACTCACAACTCATGCACTTGAAAAAGCCCTTAAAAATACGGCATAATCGGTTTTAATACCTCACACCTTGGTAGCCTAGATAAAATCCTTGCATCGGACGCATAATGTTACTGTATTTATTGAAAACAACAGTACCTACAAACAATTGAAGATATTGACTATTAGAAGAACTTTTCCACAAGCCTTTTACTAAATTTTCTTATCTAAACAGCAGCATGTCAGTTGGATACTGTGCTGATTATTAGTAATAGAATGAAATAATAAATGACCGTCGAATTAACGACATTGATGCATGGCGCATACCGGCATCAGGCAGTGAGAAAAAAAAAACGAGTCAACATGATTGATATCTGTATCTTGCCATGCCAACACATTACGTCAAAGCAAACTTTGATGTTGCCTATTTAGTCCGAGTTTGGTGGAAAAAATATGCAAAGCAAAAGTACTTTAATGTAATAGCAACTTACAGATATATTCAATTTTGCTGTCAAAATGATCGATCGAAATATAGACCAGGGAAGTTGTGAAAATTTGGGACATTTGGCGTTCCGATCAAGGGTGAATCGGGACGTACCCCTAAAAATCGGGACGTCCCACACAAATCGGGACTCTTGGCAACACTGGCTTATGCTATCGGTGTGAATTAACACGAAAGCGGGCGGTGGCGAAAAAAAAAACGATACGTCTTATCGTTGGGAAGACCCGGGGCGTACTGAATCGGCGTTTGCGCGTGATGATTTATAGCATTTTTAAAATAATCATATAAAATAACTGGCTAAATAAAACTAGCAATTTTTTTTTGGATACTTAATATTACCTGTATTTTGATAAAATAATTAAAATAGATAAGTTTATAATATCCCAATACACGGGGAAAAATGACATTGAAGTGGAGAGTTTTGGTGATTTTGTACTATTAAATCGAAATATTTTCGTGATTTATGCTTAATAATTCTTAAAATAAAGTATTTTAGCTAAACCCGTCAGTCCCCATCCACAACTCTTTAAACAATTAACTTATATTCAGATACTACTTTTCTGTGAAGAAGTTTGGCATTATAAAATCTATACAAAATTCTCTATATAAAAGTCAGGTTTTACTTCATTACAAAAAGACTATTATATTTTGATAACAAAAATTAAACAAGCGTGAAAATCACAATTATTTCAATATATATTACAAGAAATTATTTACGTAAAAAGATAAATTATATTCACACAAAAACTTTCATTACAATTTTATAATAAATCACTATACTAAAACACTAGAAAAATCCAAAAATCAACACAATAACTTTCACGCGAAAATGGCGTACGAAATGAACGTAGATTATATATCTATAGTATAACTGTTTTTATTGCACTAAAGTATAGACAATTTCATATTAATTCTATAAAGCCAACTTCTTCATAGAAAAGTAGTCTCTAAATATATGTCTTAATGGTTTAAAGTGCTGTACCCACAGCCGTGCGCGGTCGAATCCGACCGCTTGAATTTTGGCGGAATAGCGCCGCGGTCGAATTCGACCGCTTAGAGATAACATCGGGTTAAAATAATGGTTGCATTCGACCTGAAAGATAACTCTGACGCATATTTTCGTAAAACGCTATGAAGGGATTGTCTTCGCTCTAAAAACCGTAATTAAAAACTACGATTTTGCACTATAGCGCACCAAATAAAGACTGCATGCTTCTAAATCCGTAATTTTCTGCAAATAATCAGCTTATATCGTTACGGTATCGCCTTTGAAAAAACGCTAAAACATGAAGTTTTCGACTCTTTAAGCATAGAAAAAATCTGTGAGAGCGTAGTCCTTCCCCGGTCGAGCCGACCAATTCGTGCTACAACTATACTACTAATATAACTGCAGCATGGCTCTACCGTATATAAAGTACATATCTGGGTTGGTGACAGTCGGGCGAGGTTCGGTGCACGTAGTGCGGCGCGTGCGGCGGGTAGTGCACGGACGTGAGGTCGGGCAGCGAGCCGCCCGGCCCCTGCAGCTCGCCGCACAATAGTTCATGAGCGTAGTGCGTACATATCTGGGTTGGTGACAGTCGGGCGAGGTCCGGTGCACGTAGTGCGGCGAATGCGGCGGGTAGTGCACGGACGTGAGGTCAGGCAGCGAGCCGCCCGGCACCTGCAGCTCGCCGCACAATAGTTAATGAGCGTAGTGCGTACATATCTGGGTTGGCGATAGTCGGGCGAGGTCCGGTGCCGTAGTGCGGCGAGTGCGGCGGGTAGTGCACGGACGTGAGGTCGGACAGCGAGCCGCCCGGCACCTACAGCTCGCCGCACAATAGTTCATGAGCGTAGTGCGTACATATCTGGGTTGGTGATAGTCGGGCGAGGTCCGGTGCACGTAGTGCGGCGAGTGCGGCGGGTAGTGCACGGACGTGAGGTCGGGCAGCGAGCCGCCCGGCACCTGCAGCTCGCCGCACAATAGTTAATGAGCGTAGTGCGTACATATCTGGGTTGGCGATAGTCGGGCGAGGTCCGGTGCACGTAGTGCGGCGAGTGCGGCGGGTAGTGCACGGACGTGAGGTCGGGCAGCGAGCCGCCCGGCACCTGCAGCTCGCCGCACAATAGTTAATAAGCGTAGTGCGTACATATCTGGGTTGGTGATAGTCGGACGAGGTCCGGTGCACGTAGTGCGGCGAGTGCGGCGGGTAGCGCACGGATGTGAGGTCGGGCAGCGAGCCGCCCGGCACCTGCAGCTCGCCGCACATTAGTTAATGAGCGTAGTGCGTACATATCTGGGTTGGTGATAGTCGGGCGAGGTCCGGTGCACGTAGTGTGGCGAGTGCGGCGGGTAGTGTACGGACGTGAGGTCAGGCAGCAAGCCGCCCGGCACCCGCAGCTCGCCGCACAATAGTTAATGAGCGTAGTGCGTACATATCTGGGTTGGTGATAGTCGGGCGAGGTCCGGTGCACGTAGTGCGGCGGGCGCGGTAGTGCACGGACGTGAGGTCGGGCAGCGAGCCGCCCGGCACCTGCAGCTCGCCGCACGCCAGCCCGCCCCCGCCACCTCCCCCGCCACCGCCACCCCCGCCGTCGCCTCCGCTCTCGTACACACTGACACATATAAATTAATAAAAAGTGTTACAATCTAAAATGAGTCGTGGTAGCTCAGATGGTTAACGCTCGTTGTAAATATAACAGAAAGCGAGTAACCCGCTAAAAAGGGTTCGATCCCTGCCGGCATCAATGAAATTGTTAATTTCAATTTTAAGTGCTTATTTACCACGTGCTCGGCGGTGAAGGAAAACATCGTGAGGAAACCGGCATGGCTGAGGAATAAGAAAAAAAATATTTCGAATACATGTGAAGTTTGCCAACACGCATTGGGATAGCGCGGCGGACACTTCCTTGCCCTAAAACCCTCCCAGAAATGAGTGGAGGCCTGTGCCCAGCAGTGGGACGTATATAGGCTGTAACTTTACTTTTTTACTTTACAATCTAAAATAAATCATAATATGTTCTCACTTAAAACAAACATTTGTAAAATAATTATATATCTAAGATATTTACGCGTAATAAAATAAAATGTTGTGTATTACCAAATTTGAAGAGCATCTTCCGCTCTCCCTCAATTGCGTGCACTAAGTGGATAAGCATCCACTTACTGGTGTCTAAAGCTAGTCCATAGACTATTACATCTATCCTCGATTAAGAATAAAAATGAAGATGCACTGTCCCACCTAAGGACTAAGATGGAATGCCTTGTTTCCAGTAAAACTGTCCCCCGTTCTCTACACTCACCATACAAAACTCGGCTTTATTAAGCTGCTATTAACGCCGGTATTCTGTGATAGAGCGGACCTTTCACAGTCGAGTCGCCTATTCACGCTACAACTACAAGATAGCTGTAGAGTGGTTCTACCTCATGTAATTTACTTAACAGCTTTACTCGGCCACGCCGTGATGTGGCTTAAAAAGTTTAAAAGTATATACAAACGTAACAAAGTATTCTAATACAATGTTGTCGTTGTATACAATTGTAAACCAATTTGCACTCTTTTAATTTTTAATGCTTTTTTTTTTGACAACAAATTTTTATATAAGTTAAATTTAATTGTAATATTCTATGGTTGTTGATGTAAGTATATGCTGTAGGGATTTAAATACATTGTATATCCTACTATTCCTTTCCTATCACAGGGGCCCATGGAGGAATTAAGACCACGATGCTCCACTTTCATATCCCAGCCATGCAGGTTTTCAACAATGTTTTCCGCATTCGGAATGTTTAAATGTTAGCTATGCTGGAGCTAACCCCAGTTCATCTACACATACAACAAGAAGCGAATTTAGCTGCCATTAGACTCAATAATCTAAATCTATGGAGTAAGAGTAGAGTCCCCCATACAGATGTAATTGATAGAATTTGCTCCAAAATTATTATTATATATTACTAGACAAATGCATTAATTGGTGTTTGATAAGAAATACAAGGTACAATTAAATAAAACTAACCAGCCGGCGGGTTTAAACACAAAAGAACTCAGAATTTCACATACGATTCCAAAAAAAAATTAAGGTACAGGATTTGGAACTTTCTTAGAAGACCTCAATATCCACATATCTACACCGCTTGGCACCCACACAATACAGTCTTTCAGGCAGATGTATGGGTATCATCCAAGCGGCCACAGAAATAGATTTCAGTAAGATAAAAGACTCCTCCATCAGAATACGGACCGACAACATGGCGGCACTGCAAGCTCTTACTTACTTACTTACTTATCTTCACGCACAATCCCTAACGGGGTAGCCAGAGAGAACAGATCGCCAAGTGTCACGATCCTTACATACCTCTTTCGCTTCTTTCAGGTTCATTAACTTCTTCATACATGCACGTCTAGGTATCCGAGTAATCTTGACCCTCCCCTCTTCGAGCAATTTGCTCACATGGTCTTCGAAATTTAGTCTCGGTCTACCTCGACACCTTTTAATATTTACTTTCGCTCTATATATTTTCTTCACCATTCGGTCTTCACTCATTCGTTCAACGTGCCCAAACCTTTGGAGTACGCCCCTATCAATTTTTGTGATAAGGTCATCTTTCAATCCTGCCATATTGCGAATCTCTTCGTTTCGCTACTGCAAGCTCTGAGTTTATTTTTATAGCAAACGAGCATGCGGCGCACCTGATGGTAAGTGACTACTGCCGCCCATGAACAACTGCAACACCAGGGGAATTTCAGATGCATTACCGGCCTTTTAAAAAGGAGTAGGCTCTTTTCTTGAAGGTCCCTAAGTTGTATCAGTCCAGCAAAATCGAAAAACTCGGGACTAATGTATAAATGCCATCAACGACTAAATAAGGTATGTAAACACAAAAATGTTACTCTGCAGTGGCTAAAGGGACAAAGTGGATCTAGAGGCAACGATGCAGCAGACGAACTGGCTTGAAGAGGATCGGCCCTGGCCACCATAGGACCAATCATACCAATCCCCTTTGGTAACATTCTTTCACTAGTACGTAGAAACTTCAGTAATGAACAGTCTCAGTTTTAGAAAAATCTATAAGACTGTATACAAGCTGGAGAGGCCCTGCCTGAAATAAACAGCTGTTTAACCAAGACTCTAATGAGATTGTACAAGCCACAGACAATATCATATAATAGTAACAAGTACTATCACATGACATGGCTCCTTTAACAAACATTTATTTACCATAGGTGTTACAGATAGTCCCCTGCATACAGGTACAGGGTACGTATGGGGAAGGAAGAAACGGCGGCCCACGTGTTGCTGGCATGTCTCATTGATTGCTATTTGGTTTAGTGTAACTATACGATTCTTAAGATATTAAACAAAAAAAAATGTGTGTTATATTCCTCGATAACCTAGAATAAAAATGATAAATTTAATATAATATATGATACTTATAACTCACTTGTTATTATTTGGTATCCTAGGAATTTCACATGATGACCGTGGACGATTTGTGGGATTCATGCCAAGAGTTGTCAGCATATCTAGATGGATATCAGGTGCTGAAATTTAACATGTTTTTATTAATTGCTTGATAAATAGAAAATTTATATGTGGTAGAGTCACACTGCAGCTATATTATGGTTATAGCATGAATGCACTCTCACAGAATACCAGCATAAAATAGCAGCTTAATGCTACTGTGTTTCGTATGGTAAATGTAGAGCATCAGAGACCCTTTTTACTGGTAACAAGGCATTCTATCTTAGTTCTCAGGAGTGACAATACATCTGTAGTTTGATTTTTAATTAAGGATAAATGTAGAGGTTTATGGGCGACCGCATTCACTTACCATCAGATGGCCTGTGTACTCGTGTCACCCTTATCCTTAAAAAATACTTACAATACAAACACATTTTACCACATTTTTATTAAGTCACTTTCTTGTTTGTCTGTATGTATGTTGTTTCGGGTTAAATTTAATAATTGATTTTATACTAACTTCCGGATGAGCTGCAAAAATGAAATATTGAATATAGCACAAATTCGGATGACAATGCAATGCAAGAATATTGTTATGAACTTAGGGTTCACGACAATAAAAACTGCCGATTGAATTACCAAAATTGACACTTGAATTACCGAACACCAATTAAAACTTAAACACACTAATAATTAATCACACTTAACACTTTAGTTTACTTTATGTCGCCCCGAAGTCTTCGCTTGCGTATTGTACGCCTTTATATAGGACCTTTTCCACTGAAACATCCCGAATGTTCGAGCACATACCGGTAGCAACCGATTAAGTATAGAAAGTTCTCTCTTAATGATTCGTTCATCAACTACAGCGCGCAACGATATGATAAAAATACATAATCATATCATATCATCATAAAGGGTGAGAACCTCTTTCGCCTCCTTTTTTATTTGTTAGGTTAAGTTTTTGATTCTTTCTATCTTCAAAATTCTCATGATAAAAATACGTGGTATATTAAAAAAAAATTACTCTCTGTAGCCTAAAAAAGCTTGATGGATTTTAACATATAAGGTGTTGTTATATTCGTCTTAATTGTGGGAGTAACATTTATACAATGCATGTGCAAATACAAAAAAGTAAGGGACGGTTTTTTCAGTAAAATTTTTAATGCAATCGGGTTTTTTAATTACTCTTTTAACCATTAAGCTTATTCGGTTACTAATTGAAGTCCTGAAGAGACTTTGACAATAGTATATGGGTACCTCTACGGTGGTTTTGGTGAGGATGTAGATGTGGATGTGCGTGCGAGTGCAGTGGATGGTGGGGGGAGAGCGGTTGTGTGACTGTCTGCTGCTCGCCGCCGCACGACTGGTGCAACGCTGAGTCCGAGTTCGTGCGCCGCCAGTTGCTGTCCGGTGGCGGACTGAAATTTGATTCAAATAATAATTTTTAATCATTTTATACTACTGTAGTAAAATATTAAAATAACGCTGACTGTGTTTTATTTAGTAATCGTGAAGAAACTCACATATTCGAGAAATTAGGTATTTGTAGTAGGGGAGGTCTATCCTCCCACCAATGGGATATATAATATAGGCTGTACTTTATGGATCACAGCGTTTACTTCAATCATTTTCCATCTGTACCTTTGACTGTGTCTCACTCCGAAAACAATCATGTTTGAAAAAAACTAGTGACCAATGGACAACAGTCCTTATGGTTAATGGATACTTATCAGCCCAGCAGTTAGTCCTGTATATAGATAGGCTTTATTAAGAAAATGCGAATTGGAAGAGTTGTACATACTAACAATACTAGGTGTGTGAGGTGTAAATAGCCCTTGCACTTGTATAGGCACCACAGTATTTTTTTGCTAGATTGATAATCTCAAACTCTGATTACAAATAACATAATAAACAATATCATTTCATGTAATTATAAATGAATTGAAAAATCATGGTATTATAGACCAGTATATGATAACTGTATCTATCATTTTAAGAAAGTAAACTGTGATTTCTCTCTGCTATTTACAGGCTCCCAAAACAAATAAATTAATTTTTCTAATAAATTAATAAAAACCTAGTAAACGAACTATATCAATCTCAGAAATGAGAGGAAGCGTATGCCAAATTTGGGAAAGTACAAAATCTGTAACGTTACTACACCTATCAAATACATAATAAAAATGTATATTTGGTACAATGGTACATTCAATTAAGCTTAACATGTACTGGTAGTGCTTCAGAGCCATAACTCCCGACGAAAACAGAGGGGTATTATAAAGTAGCGTGTGTCTGTATGTCTGTCTATGGCATCATAAGTCTTGAACGGATAAACAGATTGATTTTTTTTCGTTTGAAAGGTGTCTTAATCCAGAGGGTTCTTAGCTAAGTTTAAGAAAATATGTTCAGCCGTTTGTAGATAGATTATCAGCTCTTTATGTATCGGTTTTTTTAAATATGTAATTTAATATTATTTCATATAAATGACTTTTTGAGTTGTAGTGACTAAGTAGTTTTATCGTAATTAAAAATCGATGGATTAATTAATTAATTAATTTGAATTTATTTATTTATAAAGATTATAAAAAGATATTTTAGTTATTTATATACAATAAATTTAGTAATTAATTATATTATAAAACTTTTGAATATTTACATGCTGTGATAACACCAAGAACAAAACAATTGTAACTATTTAGTGGTAAATAAAGAACTAGAATTAGAAAAAAAATGAACAGAGCAAATTGTAATGAAATTAACAAGAATGTTTTAACCTTTAAAAATTAAACTTATAATAAAAAGTACAAACAGTGTTCAAATAACTATAAAGAATAAAATAATTTCCACAATAGCTTTTGAATTCGGGTCTTTAATTCTTTTATACACAATGAATTATCACCATCAAGTTGTAGGTCCATTTTTACTTTCATTTATTGATATTTTTTGCCTCTTTGAGAGGACTTAGGAATATCACAAGCCCAAGATATAGGATGTTGTCTAAATAGATTAATATTTCACCCCTAATTATCCCCCAATTCATATGGCATCACTTGTTAACCAATTGAGGGGTGACGAAAGATATCGCAAACCAATCATAAGAAAAGAATATAACCTCTTGCACTAAATATTTGTATTTTAATGTTTTGTAACTTTAAATTATTCATTATAGTATCATAAAACTTTAAATAAAGACGACTCAATATTAATGCAAACTACTTCCTGTTAACATCTTTTATGATACACACACAATTAATTTATAAATTATGAATGAGTATTCCTAGAATGAATTGACAATGCATCCATAAGTTATGTGTCATAATGTTTACCTCAAATAGACAGTACTGCCATATGGGCTTGTGTCATGTTTTCGATCAGCGGGCCTTCGCATGGGCCCAACTGAGGAAGAAGCTCGACCTCTTTGCATTGGTGCTCGTGAAGGGGAAGTGCCTCCACTACGGCCCCCACCCATTCCATATTGAGCTGCTAGAGTTGTTTCTTCAGGCTGAAGACAAAATATTCTATGAAGTATTTTTTAAGTAAAGAAGTACTTATGTTAAGAGTTACTATACTGTCAGTGGGATTAACATTACAAAAGAAGTTTTATGCATAATGAAATTAATTTCATGATAATACTTTGATTATCCTCATTAATACTTCACATTAATATCCTCTAACTCCTTTCGTAATATAATTAATCGTGAATTCCACAGTATTGCCTAAGATCATGGCCCTATATGGTCATGATGTTTATGTAAAAAAAAATTAATGGTTAGATAAAATGAAAGCAAACAGATGCAACACAATTTAATAGTGATGCACATTCTGTAAGGTTTAGCACGCGTTTAAAGGCACATCCGAAACCGCGCAAATTGTACCACATAGCGTTCTACACAAGCGCACGCATTAGCTACTTTTTTCAGCGACTGATTTTAAAAACGTAACTTGCTACATTTGGACCGCGGTTTGTTAACGCGTAATTTTTATGTGCCCCATAGCAATAGTATGGCGGCAAACGAACAGCGGTTAACCGCGGTTTTTTATTCAGTCTCGACTAGGCGAGCGCAGAGGACATTCGTTATTTCCGTTGCTAATTAGTAGCAAAAGTATTCTTTCAGATGTCTTTTATCTGTTAGTGGATGTACCCTGTAATTATGGAGGCGCCATTGTTTATGTTTTCTATTTTTTAATTTAAAAACCAAAGCCACAACCCAAAAACACCATGACATGAAACGCCAAAACACCATGGTGGTACTGAAGTAAAATTAAGCAAAACGCCAGCTGCAGTGCTTGATTGTATGCGGTTTTGCGTTTTCAGCTATTCCTAAACCACTCGCGTTCAATCGCAGTGCGTGCTAAGCCTATGCTAGGCATTTTTTTAAAGTCCCATAAAATAAAGAAAATAGTTAAATTTTTTATTCAACAGAAGCTTTACGAATAGGGTTTATAAAATATTAATGAAAAATAATCATCATCATTAGAGCACTTCATAAGTCCACTGCTAAACAAAGGCCCATCCAAAGAATGCCACAAACAATGCTCATGGGTCTGGGTAGTTTCCCAAACGGTCAAAGTTGGAACTTATGTAGTCAAACAATTTACCCTAGGTAAGCATACTCCTCAACAATTACTAACATTGTGTTCCCAACATACACCTGCATAGGTGTGTTCCCAACATATCCTGTCACAAATAATACATGTGAGTTTTAAGATGAGTAAAGTTTTAATCATTACTGTAGACTGTATTTCTTACAGCCCAAAAGTTTTAAAAACATTTTGATTTCTTATAGTTACGGGAACACTACACTTTTTTTTATAGGATAGGGTGACAAACGAGCACACAGTCCACCTAATGGTAAGTGGTTGCTATGGCCATAGACATCTACATCTATCCTCATATGTGATTCAAAATGCAGATGCGATGTTACCCGTGAGGACTTAAGACGGAATGCCTCGTTTCCAGCAAAAAGGGTCTCCAGTTCTCTACACTCACCATACGAAACACAGCAGCATTAAGCTACTATTTCACGCTGGTATTCTGTGAGAGCGTGGTACTTCCCCGGTCGAGCCGACCCATTCATGTTACGACTATACTACTAATATTACTGCAGCATGGCTCTACCACGTTGAATAAAACTACTTTTACAATTTAATTTTAATTCCCAATGTTTTGGGTGCTTTAAAGCGCTCATGGTCACGAGGGGCACTATGATTTATTTTAAAACATTTTCTAATGAAGCAATGAAGAATTTCGTAAATACAGCCTCATGCTGCCAATCTAACAACTATTTGAAGTTGCATATGTTTCATACTCTGGTTCAGTACTTGATTAGTATAGATATAGTATAGTAGTTTTACTGCACTTTAGCAATTTAATATAACATCAGTCAATCTAGTACTGCTGAAGGGTTGGACTGAATATAACCCCTGGGAATGAGCTGATCATGCTTTTTGAATGTTTAATATTTAATTATACAACATTGTAAATAATTATTTATAATCATAAAAACCAGTGCATTCACTCAGCACAAGCGCTTTTGGGACATTACTATGTTTACACAATGACTAATAGCTTCACGTTAAACATTCATTGTTTAATTTGTTGCAAGACATTATTTTTACCAAAAAAACTGTACATAGATAAATAGTATTCTGGTTACATGCAATTTATGCATGCATTATGAAATTAGTTGCTACATACATGTAAATTTTTGATAAAATTACCGCCATAACACTAATTCTGTAATGTAATTCTTAAAAGTATATGAGTAATATTATGTATTTTAGCATTGACAAACACCTTCCTTTTTTAATTATTAATGGAGACAATTCAATATTTAAAACGACTGTATTTTGTTAATAGAACAGTTAGCTCACTCACTTTGTGTAGTAGTGAGACATGCCGGAAAATAATTCACTTAAGTCTGACCAGTAAGATAAAAACCCTAAAAAATGTTCAAGATATATTTTTAGACATGTTAAGTTTTTATTTGAGTGTGGAGTAACAGGAACCTCTTTTTAAATTTTCTCTTCTGAAGAATTGCGTTTTTCCTAAAAATATTGTATAAACTATTTCACAAAAAGTTTAATATTCTTCAATCTTATGAAATCCAATAGGTTTGTGACTGACTATCAATGACTAAGTGTATGATGATATTTAATAATCTTTTTTTATTGAATGTGGCCCTTGGTATTGTGTCAGGTCACAATAATTCTGCCAATGTACAGTCTTTGGTCTGTCGAATCTTGTCTTGAGGAATCTCAGTGGGAAAGGAGTTGGCAGTAATTTTTGTGGCAAAAAAAAACACATTCAAATACACAAGTTATGGACATCACAAATCACAATACAGAACAAACATCTAGTAATAGAAGGCGAGTAGCCTGAGCAGGAAAAAGAGAATTAGGTTAAGCTAAAGTTAGGACACAATAGTTATAGACCAATAAAGAATAAGAAGTTAGTGGGTTGGTTGAAGAGTCAACCTGCCTTTGCCCAATCTGCATCTTGGAGCTTATATTTAAGAAGGGGAGTAGTAGATGGTAAAGGCGTAACACCAGAGGGTTTGGTAATAATGATGAGAAAAGTATCACTTCCAAATGTTTCACTGAGAGTTTTCCAAGAAAGCTGAGGGGCTAGAAAATGAACAAACTCGTAGGCCAAACTAGGGTCTAGTCCCGGGTATACCTATGAATGGGTAAACCGTTGTTGATGATGCAAGCATTAATGTCTTCAAAAATTTGTATGAGTTCTGAAGAGAATGGGGAAAAAATTGTGACCCCCAAGATACATAATGGGAATCGAAATCACCAGTAATAATAGAAGGAGTAGATATAGCACAGAAAAAAGAAAGTATAATTCTTGAATAAAGTGTGTGTAAGTATTAGGATGTGTGATATAAGTGAAATAATGTTGATTCCTGCTATTTTTGCAGCTACAATAATAATGTTTTGGCTATGAGTAGGAAGTGTAATTTGAGAAAAAGGTATAGGTAAGGTATGGTATGTAAGGTTTTATGTAAGCAACAATCACCATAGTAAAGTAAAGTAAAGTTACAGCCTATATACGTCCCACTGCTGGGCTCAGGCCTTCCCTCATTTCTGAGAGGGTTTAGGGCAAGGAAGTATCCGCCGCGCTGCCCAAATGCGCGTTGACGAACTTCACATGTCTTCGAAATATTTTTTTTTCTTATTCCTCAGACATGCAGGTTTCCTCACGATGTTTTCCTTCACCGCCGAGCACGTGGTAAATCAGCACTTAAAATTGCAATTAACAATTTCATTGGTGCCGGCGGGGATCGAACCCGGGTTACTCGCGTTCTGTTATATTTACAGCGAGCGTTAACCACTGAGCTACCACGGCTCTCCACTGAGCTACCACGGCACAATCAACATAACCATCATTTATATCTTCACAAAGGCAGGTAAAGCCTTGTAAATGGAATTTGGAACTAGGTAAAAACCATGTTTCTGATATTGACGCAACAGAAACTGAATGATTATTTATCAGGAAGATATAATTTTTAGGGCGCAAGCTTCTACACTTCCAGTGTAGAAGATGGAGGGGTTGGCTATAGACATCCGGTACTTGATTTTGATAATGATTTTAGTCTAGCAGGCTTGTTAGGGTTAAGCTTGAACCTATTACACTGTTTTTAGATGTCAGAAATGTGTAATAACGAAACGCAAATATGTCAATTTGTCCTCGTATTATGAAGCAGATGTCCGGTACTTGATTTTTTAATTTTGTTTTGAATTTAAGAGGATTTTAAGGGTTAAGCTTGAACCATTTACACTGTTTTTGGATTTCGGAAATGCCTTTTGAATTAATTACGATAAAAATAAATTTCACTAAAAATTGCAATAACGAAACGCAAATATGTCAATTTGTTTTTTTTTATATACACTACACTTTTTTATTACACTCATAAAAAGTTTATCACTCAGACCCTGACAATCCATTTGTGGCTGAAGACGGGACTTATATATACAACAAATTGAGTCGCAGTCGAGAGCAGTCAAAAGGTTTTTCAGAAAACAAAATTATAACAATTCACATTACATTATTTCATTTACCATTATCATATCAAATTTTAGGGCAACCAGACTTTATAGATAAGATTGGTCGAATCGGTTCTAAAACCGAATTAGCATACCCCTACTCCACGTAGACTTGTCTGCCCTACCTAGAGGTAAAGCCATAGGCACGGAGGGAGAGCAGCTCCCGCCCGCTGTAGCAAATTGCAGGGACCCGTGCTATCCATAGCATGGGTGCCTGTGATTTGCTACGCAAGGGCGAAGGGGCTGCACTTCCCGCAGTGCCGAAGCCGTTGCAGAAGTAACTTTGCGTCAATATTCCTGTATAAAAGTGAGGTTATGATTTTACAAAAAAAATTATTATTCATAAGCTATACATTTCCGCAACGGGAGAAGAGTAGGGGGGGGGGGGGGGGGGGCTTCCCATGACCCATCCCACTCCCAAAACCGTACGCGAGTACCGGACGCCTATAG